AAGGAGAGATCCATTGTTCCATGGAAGTCTCAAGGAAGGTCTATAAATCTGGCTCTTACTGTAATCATAGGTTAAGCTAAATTTATAGTTAACAGAGCTGCTACTCGCTCTTGCCCACATGAGGCGGGTAATATCATTTTTTTTATTCGTCCATTTCTGAAACTCCAATAAGTTCGGCACAAACGGTTGACATTGTCCACTACTTGTACAACAAAAGAGTGAACTTAAATCGCACACGCATGGCAAGTATAGTTGTATAAAAATCATACATGAGCAAATCATTCTTGAAGCCTTGAGTTGAAACTAAGGCCCGTATCGTCAGTCGTCCCTACAATTGTAGGGCGCGTTTATGGCCTCCTTGATTGTCATACTCCTTTCTCTCCTTCAAAAATTTCTAGATTACACTTGTCCCGTGTTAGCGTCAGCGCTCTCCTATTGTGAAGATATGTTTTTTTTTAAATTGTAGGAAATTTCAGGCTGATAAAACATGATATAACCCAAAAGCAAGCACAATTTGATGCAAATAGACGTTTGTGACATAACCTCAAAATAGAGTTCTGACACGGAGAAGTAGAAAACTATGACAATCAAGGAGGCCATAAAGGCACCCTACACTTGTAGGGTCGACTGACGATACGGGACTAACAGACGTATGCCTGTGAGCAAGTACACAAACAAACGTCCACATTCAGATGTTTATGGGTGTTAGGGGTAAAAAACGGAGAATGGTAGTTTTACTGTAACCCGCACAAAATAGCTGAAAGGACCTATACGTGTTTTAATAGATTTCGAGAGAAACCCTCGAAAGTGACAGAAGTAATAAAAAGGGTTTAAAACGACATATTAAATCAGGCATATTCCGCAGGTACCAGTAACTGAACAGGAGAAAGAACAGATTGTACATTCGCCGAAAAAAGAGAAAGATAAAGAGAGCAAAAAAGATGACAGAGAATCAAAGGAAGCAAAGAAAAAGAAAGAGCAAGAAGAAAAGCAGGCAAAGAAGGAAAGTGAAGAAAAGCGGAAGCAGGAACAAAAGAAAATGGTAAGTGTTTTTCGTTCCACGTATAAGCGAACGAAAGATCGAAATCGCGAATCTTTTTAGGTATTTTGGAATAAATCACAAAATGCCATGCCGGTTATTTTGGCGTCTTTGTCACCTTTTGTACGTCTATGTCCAGTGGTTATGTTTATACCCTATTCGTAGTCCATTTACGCCCAGACAAAACAACATGCCCAAAAGCGAGATTGTACAGGTCCGTATTTTCCTCAATGGCCTTGGAATAATCTAACAAAATAGATGCTTATTTTTATAGAAAGAAGTGCACATACTTTTCACAATTCTTTAGTCGCTGGAAGTACTTGAATCCAAATGGTTAATATTAATTATTACAGGTTCAGTTTGATTATCGATCATATAGTCCAGATCCCACATCTTTGTTTCGATTGTCTCTTGAACTTCACGGATGCAATCTTTCCAATGGTTTGCCGTCACTCTGTTGATAGCTTCATAAAAGAAAATTTTTACGTCAGAAAATTTGAATATTCTATTGTTTGAAGCCACATAGTTTTTTTTATATTTGCCCAAATCATTTATTCAGTCTAGTTGACACCATTTTTACAACACAAATGACGAATTGGTTAGATACACGTACCTGACGGATTCTTTAGGCCAGTGGTTAGTACATCTAAAAAGGCTTGTCTTCCTGACTTAATTGTAGAGTTAGAGTCGTTTTACACACAAGAGAATTACTCCGAAAGTTATGGTCATAATTATGCCGAAAATTTGCATGGACAAAATATTGAAGATTTTCTCTACAACCTGTATGACACAAGCAAACAAAATTGCGGAGTAATTTATATGATACGCCTGCGCATTAGAGTAATATTTTCGAATGGACATAACCTTAACGGGTATGACGTCCAATATAATCGGAAAGACTACAGACGTCGTTGATTTAAATTATTTTTGAAATCGAGATCTTGGTTAATATTATAAAACTTCTCAATGCTTGGACTATCGCATCCAGCGCATGGCGCCGCAAATTTCTGTTTTTGTAATTGGGTGACTTCACCTTGTACAGGTTTGGCCATTTTTGGTACTCCTCCAACAACAGTGTAACTTCTTCGCTTCTTCCCGATTCCACGACATTATGAATAAACAATAACAATAAACGCTCCTTCATGCGACTCGAACAGGACCACACCCACAAATGTTAAGTGAGGTTATGTTGTTGACGTTGACATTTGATATTGACATGCACGGAAATAACCCTCTGCGCCGATTCACGCGCATATTCTATAGAACGGGTTTTATATTTTTACCATGAACATTTTCACAAGAATTCTTTTACATGTAATTTTCGGCATAATTATGACCATAATTTTCGGAGTAATTCTCTTGTGTGTAAAACGGCTCTTAGCCCATAATTTAGGTTTTGTATGTCCTGCATTTATCCACGTTTCATCCAAGTAATAAATCTTCCTGCCCCGGTCGCGGTATTTCTTTATTGATTTTAAATAGTTTCTTCTCCATGAACAATCTCTTGGCTGTCCATCAAAATACTATTTCTGCCCCCTTTTCTATACTCAGAATGAAGTTCTTTGAGCAACCTATAGAATGTGGTCCTTTTGAAAATAGGTATATTTTCAGCACTATTAACCTCCTATAATAGTTTACCTATGGTGAGAAGTTCCTGCCTTTCAAAAAATTGACGGATTTTTCGTCTGATGGCACTCCGATCAAAGTTATCAACTGTATCCAACAGATTCGTGTAAGGCAGCATCTTGTGTGGTAGCGACATTTTTTTTGTATTTTTTTATATTCTTTAACAATGTTGAAAATTACCTTGGAAAATAAGCCTATTTTGTTCGCCACACGATTTTCAATATCATGAATTTTCATTTCAGGATGCTGTAAAATTTCGCTCTTATAAACGTTAAGGATACTTTATTTTTCCTGAATATTCAAATGTCCCTTGTCACGTTTTCGGGGAGGAGATATCACTGAAGAGGAAGCATGGCTGATGGAAGCATTCTAAGAAATATTCTCAGTTTCATCTGCTATATCCGGAGGCGACATGCTAACGTGAAAACACACGCTATGTATGCACCGAATATGAACAGCAATTGTCGGCGTCGGCGTGCCGGCGATATCCTGAGCCTGAGTTCTATTCTGTCAAATCCTGCACTTGTTCGTAATTTTATGTCCGAATGACCAATAGCTATTGCAATGCTTAGGCGGCTGCCGCTTTGCCGCACTGCATCTTTGTTATGTTGGGGGGTAAATGGACTACGAATAGGGTATAGTTGTGCTTAGCTGCTAAGAGTTCGCGCTGCGTGGAATGGCTTAGATCAGTTGCTGCATATCGTTCGCTATCGGCTGAATCTGCTATCGATTAACAGAGCTCTGCATAACCTGTTTCATATATGTGATATTCATTAATCATATAGCCTGGACGTTAGTGATTATTGATTTATAACGTTACGAAGAAATGCACTAACACTGACAGAGTCATCAGTAAATACTGATGATATGAACCACAGTAAATAATGATTTTGTGACATACGCCATTAACTCAGGACCCCTTCTTCTCACGCTAAACAAGTACTGTGATAACTGGGGGTGCAAACCAAATACCATTTACTTCATAACTGGTTTATTTCTTGTCGAGTCGAGGTCGACCCACTAGTTGACAAAAAACATATAAACATAAATATGGGTTTATTCCTAAACTCTACACCTTCACCCTTATTCCAAAAATACATATTTCCCGTATAAAAATAATACAACAAATATTCAAAACAAAATCACATCTCTATACTTACTAAAAGTCGACAAGAAGGAAACACATAACAGGTAAATTTTCCAGCGTTTCAAAAAAAAATTGTTTTCTTGGCCGTAAATTGTACCTAGGAGACACCTGCGTACTTTACCCGGCTCACAACCTTGAGTGTTTTGCTCCGGTAAAATGTTTTCATTTTCACCAGAGCCATGGAACTAGATTCTTCTGTGTTTATTTCTGATGGAACTGATAGGTTGGCTGGCGCACTCAGTCTTTTTTTACGAATCTGATCGCTGTGTCTTTTTACGATGGTATTTTTAGGAGTTTCTACCTCAAACACAGAAGAACCTAACTGGCTTTTTACAGTACCCGGAGACCACACATTTTCATTTGGTTTAGAATAGACTCTACACTATCACCCACCTCAAGTAATTGTGAATGGCCTCCATAGTGTTGAATTTGCTTTTCCGTTTTTTGTTCAACCACTATTCTGTTATTGGGCCTTAGTAAATCTAAACGGGTTTTCAAATTTCGGCCAAACATCAGTTGTGCCGGACTATAGCCAGTAGTGGCGTGCTCTGCATTTCTATATTGTAGCAAAAAGTCTAACAAAGCATTATCTAAATTTTTGTTTTCCATATTTGCTTTTTTTAACACAGATTTAATAAGTTTGACAGAATTTTCAGCCTGTCCATTGCTAGCAGGATGGTATGGAGGGGATTGTATAGCTCGAATACCGTTTTTTTGTAAATAGTTTGAAAATTCTGTCGAAACAAGTAGAGGTTCATTATCAGAAATAATTGTGTCGGGTAGCCCCATTCTTGAAAATAACGTAGCTAATAGTCTAATAACATTGCGAGAATTAACAGCTTGCATTTTAAATACCTCTAACCACTTTGTAAATCACTCAATATCAATCAAGTATTTATCTCCAAATATGGGACCTAAAAAATCTAAGTGGATTCTAGACCAAGGATACTGACTTATGGGCCATGGAGTGAGTGGAGTTTTTGGTGGATTAGTACGCACTGCATTGCATAATGAGCACGAGCTACACATGAGCTCCACAGCTCCATCTATTTTGGGCCACCACACATATGACCTAGCAAATGATTTCCATTTATTTATACCCAGATGTGTGCTGTGTCGTTCATCGAGGACATATTGTCGCAACTTGCCCGGAACCACTACTCGTATGCCCCATAAGATACAACCCCTCTCTAAATGCAACTCATCTCTTTTAACATAAAAGTCTGTCAATTCCCTTGGGACCCCATTATCTGGCCAGCCTGTTAGACAATGCATATAAACTTTATTAAGAGTAACGTCTTTTTTTGTTTCAATGGCTACTTGCTTAAAACTAAATGGAGTATTATTTTCTAAGTAAAATACATGACTGAAATCTACATAGTCCACCTTACTAGCTGTGTTTTCATCGGGTAAGCGAGATAAGCCGTCGTTATTTTCATTTTGTGTTGTTATTACATATTTAATATCGTAGTCATATGATACTGCATATAATGGAATTCCTCTTTTGCACCAAAAATTGCAACCAGAGGTTTATGATCCGTGATTAAAGTGAAATGGCGGTCGTATAGATACTGATTGAATTTTTTTAACCCAAAAATTATTGCACATGCTTCCCTTTCAATGCAAGAATAATTTTTCTCTGATGGAGCCAAGATTCTTGAAGCATAAGCAATTGGTCGGCTATCACCATTTGGAAAAACATGTGAAATCACTGCGGAAATTCAATAAGCACTAGCGTCGCAAGCTATCGTTACAGGTAAATTGGGATCATAATGAACCAGTACTCTAAATGAAATCAAATCCCTTTTATGTTATTGAAAGCCTTCTTTTGGATATGGGACCAAAAGAAATGTTGGTTTTTCTTTAGCAGCTGATAAAGTGGTTGCAATTTAGAGCTTATGTCTGGTATAAATTTAGCATAATAATTTACCATGCCTAAGAAGGCCTTAACTTCTGTCACATTTGAGGGCGTTTTCATATTAACAGTTGCTTCTATTTTTTGTTTATTGGTATGTAAACCATCTTTGTTGATTGTATATATTTACTTAACTTCTCGAAAACCTTTACCAAGACCTGAAGGTGTTTCTCTTCGTTTTCAGTAGCTACTAGAATATCGTCGAGAAAAACAGCTACTCCTTCTAAATTGTTAAAAAGCTGCTCCACCATTTTCTGGAAGATGCCTGGACTCCGTATGGTAGTCGATTATATTGAAAAAGTCCTTTATGTGTGTTTATTGTTACCAGTTTTTTTGATTCGTCGTCTAAATGAATTTGAGCATATGCCTGTGACAGGTCGATCTTACTAAAAACAGAGCAGCCCTTTACAATACTTAGTAAATCTTCAATTCTTGGTAAAGGGTATTTTGTAATGTGTAATTTGGGGTTTAAGGTGACCTTAAAGTCGCCACAAATTCGTACATCACCATTCTTTTTTAAAACGGGCATTATGGGTGTAGCCCAGTCGCTTAATTCAATGAGTGTTAAAATACCAGCCTTAGTTAAATCCTTAAGTTCTGTTTCGACTTTGGCTTTGAGAGCTATAGATAGCGATCTGGATTGCAATAAACGGGAAATGAATTTTCTTTTAAATACAATTTAGCGCACTCGCCATTAAAGCAACCGACGTCATCTCGAAACACCTCCGGAAATTTATTTCTCAATAGTTTTCATGTCCTCATTGAGAAATGCGTACCATCAATATGAAACAAATTGTCTAGAGATATATTTAACTTCTTAATCTAGTCACGACCGACTAAAGGTGGTCCGTGACCTTTCAGTGAATGAATGAATGAATGAATCTTGGAATTAGAGGCATTCCGGCCACCATAAGAAGCCAGTGCATAGGCCGCTTAAACGGGCCCTTATGCACCTCTACAATCCTTAGGTCACCAGCCTCGCCCTTTTAGCGAAGTTGAGAATTGCCTTGAGTCCAAGCTCCTTGACGTCCTGAGGGTCCAAAGTAATGGACCCCAGTATAGTCTGCCTATAGTAGCTCAGAGCTTCACAGCGACACAAAACGTGCGCCGAGGTCTCTTCCTCTACCCCGCAGCGTTCACACAAGGGATCCTCAGCCACCCACATCACGTGCAGGGGCCAGACAACAGTCCCACCAGCCACCTTAGGTTGGCTCTATCCAGAGATAGGCAGACACGTCCATCCTTAGCACTGGGCCCTTCAATGAGTTCCCGTGCCTGGCGGAGATGTCTGGAGATACTTCACCATTTCTGAGAGTGTTGTCTCGCAACCCACGTCTCCATTTTCCTCCTAGCTTTATGCGCGGTCACTCCTAGAGCTGGCTGAGGACCAACGAGCTTGCTGGCTGATCCTGTCTTCGCCAGAGTGTCCGCCGTCTCATTGCCCCTTATCCCAGCGTGCCCCGGTACCCATATTAACGATACCCGATGCCTCGCTGCGAGGCAATCCAGAGCCTCCCTGCATTGCAATACCAGACTCGAAGTAATCTTACTGGCACTTAGTGCTTTCATTGCAGCCTGGCTGTCTGGTAAGATTGTTATTTTTGTCCTAGGCCCACCCTCCTCCAGAATGTGAGATACACAAGCCAGAATCGCAAAGATTTCCGCCTGGAAAATAGTGGTGTATCCACCGAGAATCAGAGATAGCCTAGTTCTAGGCCCAGAGACCCCAGCATCTGAGCCCTCTTCGGTGACCGAGCCTTCCGTGTACCAGACCTGCCCGCTCACTCCGGCTACCGGCGTCCCACTCCTCCCTCGTTGGATACTCCACAATAAATTTGCGGTTGAAGCGATATTTAGGGGTAATACGATCACCCCTGCTTAGAAGGACGGGGTCCTCCCTTTGTAATTCGACTAAGATGGCAGTATGCCCCTTGACAGGATTCAAGAAAGCCCAGCTGCCCTGACTCCACAGTCGATGAGCGACTACTCTCGCTTCACCGCGGATCACCAGATCCAACCGTGGGAGATCCAACAGAGCTTCCATTGCACTCAATGGCGTTGTTCGCACTGCGCTTGTAATACTAATACAGGCCAAACGCTGAATTTTATTGAGTTTGGCCTTAGTTGTCTCAGTTCTAATGCAAGGCCACCAGACCAGGGAGCCGTTCAAGAGAGATGGACGTACTATCGTCGTGTAGAGCCAGTATACCACTTTGGGTTTAAGCCCCCACCTTACACCGACAACACGTCTACAGGCCCACATCAAATTGCGAGCCTTGCTAACCTTGTATTCAACATGCTCTCTCCAGCTCAGTTTGCAATCCAAGATAATTCCCAGATATTTCACTGACTGGGACAAAATTAATCTAGTCCCAAAGAAGGTCGGCATGACCAGCCCGTCAATCCTTCTCCTAGTGAATAGGATCAGTTCGGTCTTTTCAGCATTAACAGAAAGATCGACTTCCCTACACCACGATTCCACAGAGCGCAGAGAGCCCTGCATAATTTCCGAGACTATTCTACAAAAATGCCCCCCCTAACTACTTTGCTTATGTCATCAGCATAGGCTTGCACGTAGACAACCATACTGCTGAGCCTAACGAGGGGTTCGTTCACCACGATACACCACAGTAGGGATGACAGAACTCCGCCCTGAGGGCAGCCTCTAGCTACGCTCATGCTGCAGCTTACGTCATTCAGCATAGCTGTTGCTACCCGACCCTGCAGAGTAGATAGGACTGAGTCTATTAGGATTGATCCAACCCCGTGTCTAATCAAGGCATGTCTGATAGAGTCGGTTGTGGTGCAATTAAATGCACCTTCAATGTCCAAAAAGGCCACGAGTGCCTACCGTCGATTTTCCAGCTTGCTATGCAAACTGATTTGCATGAATGACACACCTTTCCAGCGGGCCATCCCTTAAGTATCTATCAATTATCCTTTCCAGTGTCTTAAGCACAAAAGATGAAAGAGTAATCGGACGAAAATCCTTCGGGCCAGTATATCTAGCTCTGCCCGGTTTAGAAATGAATACCACTTTAGCCTGCCGCCAGCTTCTAGGTTTGAAGCCCGTGGCCACACATGCTCGAAACACATTCAACAGGTGAGGAACAACCGAACTCTGTCCCTGCTGTAACACGGCCGGAAATACGCCGTCCAGACCTGGACTTTTGTATGGAGCAAACGAGTCTACTGCTCATACCGTCCTTTCGAAGGTGACAATCTCCCTAGCCGTGCGCCACTCCTCCCCTGAGGGCCTGCGCAACTGCATGTACTCTATGATTGATCGCGCTACTGTGGAACCGGGAAAGTGCCTGTCCGTCAGAAGCCGCAGTGGACCTTCCTCAGAAGTAGTATTCCCCCCTGAGGGATCATGCAGAGATCCCAATCTTGCTTTAATCTCTTTGCATAGGACTCTGTGTATTCTCGCAGTAGCAGGAATGTCGTTTATGGACTGACAGAAGTACCTCCAGGATTCTCTGGAGGCTTTTGTAATCTCCTTTGTGTACTCCTGCAATGCCTTTTTGTAGTCTTACCATAGAGGAGAACTTCTCCTGTGCTTAACTCTGCTAAGAAGTTTGTGCACCGCTCGTTTTCTATCCTCTAATTCTTTGGTCCAGAAGGTTGCCTTGCCCTTACCTTGAACTTTGCGTAACGGGCAGCTTTCCTCATATGAAGCCGTCAAGTCCCTGCTCAGAGACTCGACAGCTGCTTCTATGTCAGAGCCCCTACAAAGTCTGTATGGGACCGCTCCAAGCTTACTGTCAATGTCTGCCCTAAAGGACCCCCATCTAGTATGCCTAGGATTCCGAGCATATTTATCTGGAATCTCTCCATCAGGCTTAAACAGTATATACCTGTGATCCGATAGAGAGGGTGTGAGAGACAATTTCCAGTCCCTAATGTCCTGAGCTAAGTTGAGCGTGTGTTACGTCGATAACCGCTTCTCTTACACTATTGCTGAAAGTGGGCATGTTACCGACATTCAGAACCTCAAGGTTCGATGCCCCTAGGAACTCCATGAGGTCTTCGCCCCATTTGTTGGTGTTCGAGCTGCCCCACATAACGTGATGGGCATTGCTGTCGCATCCAATCACGAGGAAATTAAGACTTACCATGGGTGTTGAGAGGTCCTCCTACACCTTCCCGAATGACGGTATGTCCCCTATTCGGGCGCCGTCGCCGTCTTCACTGTCGCAGCCCCCTTCATCTCCGCTTCCACGGAGGAGTTCTCGGACTCGGTTCAGGATTTCGTCCTCGTCCGAGTCGCTATCATTGCCCTCTGGGGCCAGATCCATCGTAGGGCCCGCCGCGATGTTTACTGCGGATATCCCGCTGGGACCCGCCGCCTCCACGTCCGTAACCTCCGGTGGTTCCAGCGAGAGCTGCCCCGGCCGACCCATCCCCTGTGAAGGAGCCTGGTCTACCGCCACAGCTCCCGTCGGTCTGGGCTGGTCCGAATCCTGGTTTGGAGCCAGGCCAGTTCCAGCAGGTGTCGCCCCAATGTTTTTCTTCTTGCTCAGGAGTGTAAACACCCCCGAACTTCCACCGCAACACAGCCTGTTGCCGTTACCTTCAATGATCTTCCAGCTTATGGAATCAACTGAGAAGACAAGTCGGACACCTTTGTGATCCTCCTTCCTCTCAAGTAGCCTCCACGCGCTGGGAAAAGTCCCAGGATTGTGCCTCCTGAGTCTCCTCATGATGTCCTCGTTTCCCAGGTTGGGACCCGGGAACCAGGCCATCACGCGGTGGTATATAGGAAGGTCTCCAAAGCTCATCGTAATGAGCCTTGCGCCTTCCCACGGCCGCAGATCCCCCACGTGGGCCTCCAACCATGCCCTAGAGGATTCGTCCTCGCAAAGATGGCTGCCCCTCGAGAGAGTTAGCAGTCATTGTACCTGGGAAGGTCCGCCTCATCTGGGAGCCCATCTATCAGCACACTGACCGCCTCCTGGACCTGCTGTACCTGTACTTCAGTCAATTGAGTCCTAGGATAACCGTTGGACACGCTTGGGACGTACGCGCAAAGCTAATGTGCGCATGCCTCGCAGTACGAGGCTTCTTCCGCGAGGATGCACCCTCCGGTGTCCCACCGGCAGACCTCTGCCGCTTCCCGTCGCCAGGCCGCTTTAGGGCCTCGGCTGACACACCGGATTGCGCACCGTCTAGCCCAGATGGCGGTTGGGTCCGTCCAGCCGGAGCCCCAGAAGTGGTGCCCCGACCTTCCGAGCCCTCCGTCATCTGCGCGTCTCTCCACTTCTCCCCCCCTTCTCCTTTCGGAATCTGGCCGAGACTTCTTAATTTTTAGAGAGCCCAACCCTTTCCGCTAGCTCTCTCGCTAAGTTTCTGACAGATTCCTCTGTCAGAGTCCGATCAGGGTCCCCTGGTGAGGGGCCGCCTGGATGTTCGGAGTCCCCTGGTGAGGGCCACCCGGATGTTCGGGGTTTTTATTATTTTCTTCGTGTTCCATATTGTTCCCACGAGTATAGGGGAAATGGTGGTCGACGTCCGCGGTGCCCCTACACGGACGCAAGGCTGGATACTCTGGGAGGTCGCCCGGTGTCCCAGAGGCTCCGTTTAATACGGTGCATCCCCACCGCCACGCACCCCTCGGCACGGAATCGCTTAACACCTTGGGTTGGGTAAGGTACCATTGCCCATAATGACCGTTGAGCTGCAGGCGTCCCAGATATACATCCGAGACACCTGTGGCTCAACGAATCATACGTTTGGCCGCGCTACCGGCTTTCCGGCGGGTCTCCTCAAAAACTGATCGAGGCGGTCCAGCGCAAGACCGGCACCCCGTTGCCCCCCCCTACACGGTCGCACACGGTTCAGCGCCCAAGTCCGCCCCGCAGAATGAACTCGAGGACGTACGGGTTGGATTTTGTAGAGGCCTTTCAGTAAATACAATTGCAAATTTTCAGGATTGGAACTATGTTCAATCCTTACATTTACCTTGATAAATCTTAAAATTTCTAGCACATTCCCAGAATAAGATTTAAATTTAAGATCGGTTCCCAAATGAAAAGTTTTTATAATATTCTGCCTCAGATATGACAGAATAGGCTGATCCTGTGTCAATTTCCATATACATAACAACATCATTGATATTTAAGTGAATTTTTAGCGGTTTCTGGTGGTTATTTCCAATTTTGAAAATATATTTTGAGATAGTTAAATCAGCTACCTCACTTACGTTGCTAACAGATGTTTCATCTCTATCAAGATGGTGCGTGACTCCTTGTTTTGCATTTTCATTTCTATGTTTACCGAAACTACGGTTGAATTTCGCGCACACGGCACTAACATGCCCCACTATACCGCACCTGTGACATTTCGATGTCCGAAAGAAACATCGGATATCTTCGTGGTTTGATTTCCCACAATGGCGGCAACAGCTGGAACGTGGCCCATTTTTACGCTGCGCTCTGCTCGAAACTTTGTGAACTGCTACCATCGCCATCGATGAAGACTGCTTCCTCCACCATGAGAGAATTTTTCTCTGCGGCCTCCATATTTAAGACAATCCTTACTGCTTGAATGTAATTTAAATCTTTCTCGGTGAAGAGTTGTTGACGAATGCTGTCACTTCGGAGGCCATATAGGAATTGATCAGTTAATTGGTCTTCCAAATTGTCTCCAAACTGGCATGTTTTAGCTATTTTTTTAAGTGCAGCTAAATATTGCGCTAAAGATTCGCCGGGCTGTTGCTTGCGTAATCTTAATTTAAACCTTTCTGCTCTTTTGGACGGCCCTGGGTAGAGATGATTTTCAACTAACCTGACCAAACGCCTCGTAGGTAATTTCCTCCGGTTTGTCCGAGTTACACAAATCGATCATCAGCTAGAACATTTCTTCTCCGACGACAGTCAACAGTGTATTTACTTTCAATTCTTCTTCGATTTTATAGCAATGAATTACTGCTCAAATCTGGAATTGCAGGAATTCCAGTTCGACCCACTTAACTTAAACTCCGACATCCGTCCGATCGACATTTTATTGTTCAATTGGCGTACAACTGCAAACGCAAAAAAACGCATAACTATGTCCGTAAAGTATTTAATTTCGTCCTCGTCACCAGTGTGATAACACCATTTACTACATAACTGGTTTATTTCTAGTCGAGTCGAGGTCGACTCACTAGTTGATAAAAAACATACAAACATAAATACGAGTTTATTCCTAAACTCTACAAGTACCTTGTGACAGTCCAACTATAAAATTCATTTTTTTACAAAATATATTGGTTTCAGGAAGCGGAAAAAAAGGCATTGGAAGAAAAGAAACGCAAAGACGAAGAACGCATTAAAAAAGAACTGGAAAAAGTGAAGCGAGAAGCGGAAGAGAAACGTCAGCGTGAACTGGAGGAGAAACGTCGATTAAAAGAGCAGCGCAAGGCTGAAGAAGAGAACCGCAGAAAGATAGAGGAGCAGAGGAAGGCTGAAGAACAACAACGTTCCGAGGAAGAAAGGTTAAGGGCCGAGAGGGAATTGGAAACGAAGAGGGACCAACAGGCGAGAGTTGCGAAGACTGCTCCTTGGTCGCAGTCCAACTCCACGGCTGGGATGAGCCTTGCAGAGATTCAGAAGGCTGAGCGGGAGAAAAGGACGCAGGATGCTGTTATACAGATGCAGAGGCTACAGGTAGAGCATTTTC